ATTTCCGCAGCTACATTCACAACAAAGGTCTGTAGAACCATATTCAATTCAAAATCTCTTATGACAAAAGGTAAGAAGAAAGCATACCTCTCTAATGTATACACTGAGAATTTCACAAATTCAAAACTTACAGCAGTGAGTGATGTGAAGCAAAAATATAGGATGCCCACAATTAAAGTGACCCTACCCCATACCAAGGAAGAGCCTGCTGTAGATGAAGTATTCTGCTGAAACTTGGTATATCCTTTGAAACTTGGTAAACATATCATGGGATGTAAAGTGCAATAGAAAATAATGTTTCAAACTTCAAACACCAGGTTAAACGTGACATATAAAGAACATGAAGGACAAATTATCAAAAGCACATTTATTTTATCGAAACATTTGCTCAAAGTGCATCCAACTGTATTAGTTGCAGAATCAACGAACCTTATTCAAGGGTATACAAGGGTTAGCATACAAGGGTTTCTTGAGAAATTTCGGCAAAACTGGTATTATGCTTGCTCTCAATTAAGGCAGAGTCCATGCGTTTCTTTCATAGGTACGATTTTTCGGAATCCACATTACTAGAAGTGATAAAGAATAAAGTTCGAGAAACGAGGAGGCTAAGCATTTGGAAAATTTCTTGAAACTACTCGATCATTTTCAAAATGAACATAAAGCAATTTCGTCAATTGTAGTTGAATATGGAATGACACACCCTCTTGCATAAGGGCAGTATTCTGTAAACATTCTTGTTCTTGTAAAGCAGGAATGCAGAAGCCCGTAGTAACAGAAACTAGAGACGATAAAAATTTTAATATCTTGGAGTGCTTAGAGGAAAAAGTCAACTATGAAGCAGCAGTAAAACCAAATCATACAGTTCCTCACGTTTGTTCACGCACAATACTAGAATTTGTAATACACTTTACGTGACGTACCTAAGCATTAACTTCTGCGTTTAGGGCAAAATACGTCCTATCTGATCACAAAATGTTCCCAAATTATGCGTTATCCACGGCTAATTCTCGCCAAAAACCGGCAAACAAAATGAAAGCGTTTATGTAGTTCTTAAGGATACAGTTTTTAAACCATTTGGATCTTGTTTAGATATCGCAGAAAACTGGATCGCAGAATCTTTCGCACTGTACGCAGAGGGATGGAAAAATTACATAATACCCCTCCCAGACTTTTAGGGAAATATCGGAACTGGATGCTCAAATAAAGGAACAAAAAAATAGAGGAACAGCGATGTTTTCTACAGCTTTATTAGAAATCAGTTTCTATCCTCTTCCAAATAGCACACGCAATCGCCCACTCGCTTCAGTGCTAGTAATCATCTCGTTAGATCATTCTTCGATATAGTTCATTTTTCCAAGCCTCTCAAACATTGATTTTCTTGCAGCACAGCTAAAGTAATATTGCAGATATCTTAAAACAGCTTGCCTGGTATAGCTTAACCTTTCTTCTTTAAAAGCACGATCAGAAATGATTCACGGCGTTGAATACTGGCATTTTAAAATGCATAGCTTAGTTTCTGCATTGCGTGAAAAGAGCATTATAGTGGGCGAAATTGAACTGTTGTAATTTATAGCAGTTTTCCCTATAGTCTAGATGACTAACTAATATGCAGGTTTAAACAAAATACGTCAGATAGAAACATTTTAAGTATTTTTTCATCCTGAAAAATCCATTGAGGTGTTAACTTGAGTAATCTTATATCATTGGCTAACAGAATTAACATCAAAAGATTTTATTTATGTATTTGTCAATAAGTAATTTGTTATCTGCTTTCCTATGCTTCTTGATATATATATATATATATATATATATTGCTCTGTCTTTAAGTAAGCTCTAGTATTTGTGTAGGAAGACAAGTATAAGAAAAGAGTTGTTTGGGTCCTCAGAAAGGAACGCAAAGCATTTTGTATGTGAAGAATGTAATATTTATGAGGAAAATATGGGAAAATGCATGGGGTATAACCAAAACAGAAAATTTTAAACTTTGGAAGAAGAATTCACAGGAACAGTCCATTGTAAATCAAATTATTAAAGTAACGAAAATATTCAAAATATGTTTTTGCAGAAAACATATAAAACTGCGTTTGGAGAATAGAAGAAAATTCTCTAATGCAATTAAAAGGATTTTTGCGAATGGGCTGTAAACATAGGTGCCAATGCTGTTCGAAACAAAATTTAAGATTTTGTGTAAAAGACAAAATAATCAGGGAGAAACTTTGTTATCTATCACGAATTAGAAAGGGTTAGAAAGCTTATTAATCAGTTAAAAGAAGAATACTGTATGAAGTAATGAACTCAGAATATCTAAATATATATATGGTAATGCTGAAATGAAATATACCTCAGTAAAAATTTCAGAAGTTTTCCTATCTAAGTCTGTAAAGATGCTGTACTGTGTGCTTAAGTTACAGTTGAATGTGAAGAATCTTAAGAACTAGTAAGCGAATAATCGCTTGAGTTGAGACAATAATTAAACATGGAAAGGGTCAAAAGACCCTTTATTATTCAAATGAGATTTAACAGAACTCTGTCTTAGAATTCAATAAAGCCGACACTCGGGCTTGAACTTAGAAAACTAAGAATTAAAACTTAACTAATCTTAACTAAAAAGATATAACCGAAGCTATCAAGATTCTAACGGAGTTGGCCCTTTAACGATAATTGACTGCGAAGCTATTAAGGGCCTAAAGTACGGCCAAGCGTAATGATAGCTTAAGAGAGAGTAACCTAAAAAGGCAGACGCGTACTAGGTAGAAACTCTGGTTCTCTTTGACTATGACATACCTTCGCGGTTAAACACCACTCAATTTGCATCTAAACGTGTTTCTAAAACTACGTTCTGGTCGAAAGTGGTTAAGTTAAAATTAAGAAGCGATAGGAAAGGAAGTTTAACTCAATTTAACTGTTAATAAAATACAAGAAATTTTATCCTTCTTCATCGTGTACCTTAGTTTGCAATTAAAAGCAAGTTCAGCGAGTGATCGAGAGGCCAAGAGTTCGAATCACGGCAAAGGTATCGCTGAAATTTGCCTGGCTTTTAACATTCCTAAGAGTTCTGAAAGTGTATCTTCTCTGTGAAAGATCAAGTTAGCGCTATGCTATGATGATGTGCACAATTAAAGGTGTGAGAAGAACTTGTGTTATTAATGACAACTTTAATAGCATAAAAATAGCATCTTTAAATAGGAGCGTCAAATTTAATATTGTCACCTTGCGACTGTTTCAGTGATACTGGGACTTTTGTAGTCAAAAGAAATACAGATAAAGCAGGATTATCAAATTCAATTGTGCAAATATACTGTAATGCTTGAGGAATTAAATAATCAGTTCGCCTAACGTTATGTCATTCTGAGACTATAAATACATCAAAATTCTGCTCGTAAAGCCGCTAATCGAAACCGTCAGACATTAAGACATTCTGGCGATTTAGGCAATATATCTTTACTGCACTCTGTTTCTTTACTGTTTTAGAGAGAGAGCTCTCTCGCAATTCGAGATTGTAAATATCGAGTTGATTTAATTTTCATTATTACGAAATATTTCCATTAGAAATGATCACTAGTAAACTAGAAGCGAAAAGATAAGTTGTAATCCGTGGCATACTTTATTACAAAAATCTATTTTACTTGTCTGTTTTCTAAATAAGGCAATGTAATTCGCATTAAAAATATCACATGGCTTATCAAAGTTAATAAATCGTAAAGTTCCTCGTTAAGACAATATTAAACAATCAAATTCTCCAAACGGCAAAAACATTTCTCGTATGCTCTTAAATGCTTCACTGGCTTCACACGGTAACTTGCGTCCTCGCAGAGATCTACAGAGTGGGCGGAATTTAACTCCCTATTGAAACTTCTTTATAACTTTTTTAATACTTGACTAGCTTTCATGAAACAAAAAGCATCTTGTTGTTCACAATATATGATTTGTTATATATTGCTAAAATTCCACATAAGCCGACCATTATCTCTGTGGGAATCACCTGCTGATTCTCCTGCGGTACTTTTGTAAAAGCTTAGTGAATTTGTTCTTTCAGTATCTCAAAATGTTTTGATTTTCTGCTATAAACTTCCTCTGCAGTCACCCCCTGAGGAAGAAGTCGCAGAGCGTTAGGTAAAACTTGCCGGCCATTTCAGGGGGCCACGACTTCCCAACCAAAGTCTTGGAAAATCGATGTCGAGCCATTTACGGACAGGACGTGCAAAATGAGGCGAGGCCTCATTTTGTTTATAGATTAGGTCATTGTAATTTTCGCAATAATTATTATGGGTACAATACTGTGAACATAATCTTAGCATAACCAGGTACCGTTCTGCATTTATTGTGCCTCGAATAACGTATATAACTACAGTTTTCGTGGAGGTCATACCACACCACGCTGCTACCTTTGGGTGATGTTGGTGATTTTCAGAAACAATCCTCGGATCATCGTCTGCCCAATAATAACAATTGTGTCGTTTAACAAACCCCCAGCATGGAATGCGGCTTTATCTGACCAAAGTATATTTCTGAAGAGATCGGACAAATCTTCATCCAAGCAAGCATTACCCCATACTCCAAGCGATGATTATAGTCTTCTAGCGATATCATAATTATCACTGCCAGATTAGTTTTTATGGACAAAAATTCAACTCTTTCTTTAGAACAGTTCAGATTGTGCGATGGGTGAAACCACTTTCGTGAGATGGCTGTCTTTGTGGTTTATAAGGACTTCGTGTGAACATTTTGTAAATCGCTTGCAAATTTTCTTCCATCCTGGATTTTGAGGGGCGAACTCATCTCCTAATATCTGCTACAGAATGTTTGTTCATTAACATTGCTCGGCATAGTCTTTACTTACTACTCTTTTTACTACTTATTACTCTTTTTATAGTCTTTACATTTACCGAAGCATTACATCCTTTCGCACTTCGCTACCATCTCTGTAATTGTACCACGGAATGCCATACTTCGTACAGTGATGCAAGGATCAAGTGCAAGAAATGTAGGAAGTGCAAGAAATGCGAGTGCAAGAATGCAAAGAACAAGTGCAAGAAATGCAAGGAACAAGTGTAAGAAACAAAATTATTTTTTGTTTTCTGAAAATGGGTTTAATATTAAAGACGTTACAAGCAGTTTTCAATAGGAAGTTAATTTCCGCCCACTCTGTTTATCTTCATGACTTAATGCTTGTAGAATATTGGGATTATATATATAATGGGAATTAGTTAATTGTTAATTTTTCTCTTTACTTGCTAAATAAGGAGGACATACAAACCACGACACCAGTGTTCTGCGAGTTTCAGTTACTCCGAAATCACTGGCAAAATTGAGAGAAACGTTTAGTTCTGAGGTCTAAAAAAACATGGAAAATATTTCACTTTTTTTAGTTATTAAAAGAAACGCTATTATGTTGCATCTAGATTAATACTCAGATATTTATTTGAGGTTTATATATACTGTGTAAAGACTCTTCTCTTTTCATGTCAGTGTGAAAGCAAATTTTTCTAAATCATGAATGTTTAAAGTAAGAAAAGAAAAGTTAATAAAATAATAATAAGTAATAAAAATAAATAATACATTCAATTCAACGTCCGTATAAAAGAAACTAAAAGTTTTATTTAAAGTTTGTACATTTGAAAGTTTTCATTGAAAGCCTTTGAATGTTTCACAAAAGTACTTCCTTTCCCTTTTATGGCACTTAATAAATCAAGACAATTTCACTAGTGATAAAATTTACTTCGAATTTTGGTGAAAAGTATTCTTTCTGCATTTGGTTCAGTAAAGCATTTTAGCCGGTTAGGGAAATATTTTCAACCAAAGCACTTGTCAAGTTACTTCACATACCTTTTGTGTTTTTGAAGTATTTTCTGTCCCTTTTCAGCCTCAGTCCAACACTAATATCGATTATTTTACTTTTTCAACCAATTTTTCTTTCTTAAACTAGGAGTGAAATGTCAGGGGTTTTATTTTTAGATGTCATTTAGTAGGATATGGAGGATTTAAAGCAATCTTGAGTAATAGTAACATTTTGAATCCGCAGGCTTAGTGAGAATACCACTTTGGAAAAAGTGAAGTTTTTTTTTTTTTTTTTTTTTTTTTGTTAAAAAGCTGCAATTGACTCTTCTTCTATCGATTTTTTCTGTAGTTTTTTGGTAATACATGCTTTCTAAGATTTATCTTCTGGTTGGCTTCTGATGGTTGATTTAATGTTTGAGTTGTTTAGCTGGTATTAGAATGTTTGTGAGCTTATTTTATGCAGCTGAAAATATTTCTTTCTGCATTAACGCAAACGGGAAAATTTTAGCATTAACACAACTAAATAATGATTTAAATAAATCTACATACAGAATTTAATTACTAAAGTAAATATTTAAATCGCCCTAATTAATTTTACTTACACAGAGCATACTCCCCTTATTCATTTCAAATGATGCATATTTTGTCCTTTTTGAAAGGCGTGGCATTCTTCTTTCCCAAGTGATGTAATACATTTATATCTTATCGCGATAACTATAATGAATACCTAATAACCGTAATAGAATATGTAGCAAATGTGCTATATCATTTTTAACTTTTACTATTGACGAAAATAAATATTGAGCTGAACATCTCTTATTTGCCAGGGATTGAATTGTCAGAACGTCTGCATACTTGATTTTAGGATTGTATATACAGGATGATTCGAAAGTATTTGGTAACATAGAGAGGCGGACTTAAATAAGAATGAATTTGCAATCAAACCACGTTTTGAGATGGTACGAAAGGGATGCTGAGTGGTAGATAAAAGCGATCATCTGGCTTACATCGTCATTCCTCGAGCGGTTTCCAGCAACATGAATCTCAACATCAATGCTGACTTCACCGATATGAATCATATCTATGGGTCTGAGAATAGAAACGGAGCAGCTTGCGAAAGCAAGCACAAAGACCACTTCTTGACTACTTCCTGTGAGCAGTTAATCCGTTCGCATCCGCAGTCCCGTAGATGAAATAAATGTCGAAGAACTTCGCTTTCGTATTGCAATACATAGCTTTCGAAACTCGGGTGGCTAATGACACTTACGCCAGGACACCGCTTTATGATGCAAGTTATTGTGACTCATGATGCTTTGTGTATGTACTAGATTGTGAGAATGAGGAGTCTGACTATTAACGCTTATGTACCAGATTGTGAGAATAAGGAGTCTGACTATTTGAGCGCGATTTTTCGTTATGTCTATTAAAAAGAGAGAGAACGTAAGAAGGGTGTAAAAGACACTGTTCTTCAAAATTCAATATAATGTAGCAGTAGGCGCTTTTTGTGCTTACAGACTAGCCAGCATTTATGGCGTAATTCCAAATTATAAAAATTCAAATTAAAAGTAAGCCAAGTCGTAAGTTAGCCGAAGACTATGCAGAACTTATTAATGCATAAGTTGGCTCAACCTATAATGGGAGTGACAAGCACTATTGTCAATAATAATGAAACGGCGAAGACAGACTGCTATAGTAGAACAGCCGATAATAACAGGAGGAACGTACATTTAACATTCTAACTTTGGCGATTTCCTCTCTGTGCTCTACATATAATTCTGTTTCGTTCACCTCCGTAGTCGGAAGACATCTTAGCGGTCCACTCGCTCATTCTGATTTAACAATCTAAAACCTTCCTTTAAACACTACCTCTTTCTACCTCATATAATATGCGCAAACTAAAACTAGCATGATGGCAGGAAAACGGAAAGAGAAAATGATAGTAATGCTACTTAACAGAAAATAACTGGTTAGCTGGAAATTAATAAATCCTTCCAACATATTTACTAAAGTATTTAATTACTAAATTTATCTGAAATTCATGGCACCATTTTGAAACTATTTTTATTTTTATCCGCGTTTAAGCATATCAGGACTTGTATGTCTTTTGATTTGTTTTGGGAATATGACGTGTCCTGAATAGGAATAAGGAGCTTACTCAAGCTATGTTCAAATATGTGTGGAATGGACAACACAAGCAGGAAGGGATAAATTTACCCTTTATTGTCCACGATATTACAGGTGCTCCCGCACTTCGTGATACAGAGACCAACCACTTGTGGTCTGAACTTAAAAATATAATAACTACTAACTAACTAAAAACAAGAGAACTGCGATTGCTTTACGCAATTGACTAACGCTAAGACTGGCCTTTTAAATTATTACGTATGTAGTACGCAAACTGCCGAAACTATAATACATTTTAAATATCAAGAGGACTAAACCTCTGGCCTTAAAGGCGGGCAGCAGCTGACTGGAAACTCGCGTGTTATCCAGAGGCAAGGCGGCTCACTTTCTCTCTGTCTAACTCTGTTTTTGGCGAAACGCCACAACTTAAATACTTGGGCTTTGTCAAGTACAATTTGCATAAACATATTCCCGCGATTATTCTGGATGGAAGTGGAAAATAAGAGATGATAGTAAAGTTATAAAATAAAATAAATGTTAGTAAAACTTAAGATCCTTACAAGCAGTTTTTCACTATAGTTCTCATATTCTTTAAATTTTACCTAATACGATGATTATTGAGTTAAGAGTTTGTGTAAGTTTTTCCCAACTATACATACTTAATTTTGTTTGATTTATCATTTAATTATACTCCTTTTCCTTTTAGATGATCGATGACAGGTCATTCCGATGTCCAGAAACATGCAGATGCCCAGAAACGTATCCACAATGTCAAGATGGCGTTCCAGTTGTGATAGATGGATGCGGATGTTGTCCAGTTTGCGCACGGCAGCAAGGAGATATTTGCAACAGTGTTCAAGTATGTGACGTCACCAGGAAACTACAATGCATTTATGCTGATCCCTTCTCGACGTCTGGGATATGCAGAGGTAAAAGATAGTAAAATATCATCAAAAATAAATTTTCTTGTTCCAAAATTTTTCTCGTTACGTGCATTGAAAATACACTACAATGTAATTTCAGCGCCAACGGTCAGTATATCTACTTTAGATCTATAAGACATTTCATGAGTAAAAATACTTTCATGCAGTTAGTAATTTGCAGTTTAGAATCGTAAGTAAGAACAAGGCTTCCAGACAGCTACATTTGTACTTCGTGTTAGAGTCTCTGTTCTTTCGGAAACATAAATGAGCTATCACTTTGATACCAATATCTTTAAAAACTAGTTAGAGTCTTCAGCAAATATAAAATAACTTTATGACAAACACATGTAGGTAAGTGATAAGATAAGCATCAATGCATCGTGTAAGATAAGTCATAAGATAAGCATCAATGCATCGTGTAAGACAAATACATTACTTACTGCACAAGAAAATTTTAAAAATTATCTTTTTCAGTTATGATAAAATAGATTAATTCATGGCAAACTAATGCCGAACAAGATGCGGAGTCAGTGTCAAATATTTCTCTTTCTGTAAGTTTTGGAGAAACTGTTTTGCAACTTGCACAACTATTTCTGTTCTTTGTAGATAATAATTACGGAATGGAAGGCGAAGGCGTGGAGACGTGAAACGTCCTAAACCCCAGAACTAAGAATCTAATTTTTTTCTCTGGAAAATAATGAGATTCTCTAGAGCATGTTTAATAATTTTTAACTAACGCATAGTTATAAGTGCAATATATTATATGCATAGAAATTTAAAGCACGCTTTAAATTTATAATTCCAAAAAGTTTCGAAACCATTTCCTGCGGTGTATTTTGAGATAAGAAATAAATATAATTTATACAAATCAATACTTTTAAATCCAATTGGTAGTAAATAAACGTTAGTTACTCGCAGTGAATAAAAGAACCATTACGACATTTTTGCATTCAAAAACCAAAAATATTCTTTAGGTTTTCGTTAACAAAAAAGAAATGTGCTTTTACAAAACAATGGCAGAAAAATTCGCGTATGTATATGAGATACAAGCGCAGATAAGCTTCATATTTGATAACATATAAATTTCTACATTTGCAATATTTATTCCTTTCCCATTTCTTGATAATATTCCAAACGATATGAATGCAATTTTTTTTACATTACGATTAAATAATTTCTTCAAACATATATACCAATATGGTCCTTCTCCGTTATCAAAAATTATACTAAATTATCTTTTGTATAAACAGAAGTATTCATATCCATATGATCATAACTCTCACTTCAAATTACATACAAGTTAAATAATCAAGACATCTAAGTAATTAAATAGATCTCTTTTATGAAACGCGGTTATCGATCAGATGTTCTCAACAATTTTGGCTAAGTACTTGTTCTGAGATAAATAGTCCAAAGTACATTCTATCCCTCAAGATATATCTACGAAACTTTTGATTACTCATAATAGATTACTTACTGAAAGTCCTTTTAAGCTGAATAAATTATATCGTGAGTCATACTTTCTGATATAATTTTCTGCAGAGTTTATGTGATGGCAAAAAAATTCAACTGACTCCTTTCCAATCTATATATTATAAACAGCTTAATTACAAGACATCAGAACTTCGGCTTTTGATACATATTGAATATCCTCTCAATAACCTGATCAGTAATTATCTCGCTACTTCCACTGTTTGCTTCTGTCATTAATCAATACTTCATCCGCATATTTAAGGTAATTTGATTACCTTTATAAATTATCATGTAGACTGTGGTCGGTGCATTAAAGATATCTCAAAAGTAAGAGATTTTCCGAAACTTATTTCCCTATTAAAAGAAGAGTACACCCCTGGGCATGCACACATCACTGGGAAATTTGATTTAATAAGTGCATAGTCAAACAGAAGGACTCTTTTCTGAACTAACAAATATTGGAAAATAAGTCTGTATTACCCTCCGGAAAGTGAATTATTCAGGTCAAATCGTCTAATCTTTCCTCCACTTCAGTAACATTTTCATCTTCTTAACGTTTATTGAAGCAGATAATAAAAATTATAGCACAGATTTAAATTAATTTTATTTAGTCATCATAGTTTTTTTATGAACTCTTTTCCTGTTTGTTTTTAAGTATCTAGCAATTTGTGAGCCTTAAGGTGCTTTAAAGTGTGCAGCATTGAAATAAAACATGCGATGCCTGAGAGAAATTCGTTTTAACATCATTGAATTCAGTGAAACGTGTAACGCTAAGTACTTTATCCCTCATTTTTTGTTCCAAATTTTGTCCTGCAGGAATTAAAAGTTAAGAAGTATCGCATATTCCTTTTGAATCTTAATATGTTACCCATTAAAAAGACAATTTTCTAGCATATTTTATGTTAGAAATTTATTACATTTAATGTAGTTCAAATATTAGAATACTTCATAAGCTGAAATCACGTAAAACGGAAAGGCAATTTCCATTAATGCCCTTAGTATCAGATCATTACGAAATATCAAACAAAAACGTAAAATAACATTAATTGTTGTGATACATACATTGTCTAAAATCGTAACAGTGCAGCTTCATCCTCTAGAACCGCTGCACTGGGACGCGTAACAGTTGGTAATAGTAACGATAATTGTATTAGGTCTGAATATTACCTAGCATGGTTAAAGATACAGAAAATTGAAATAGTGAAAAGGACTTCACCAGTTAACATTTCATTGCCAATTTTTTAGATTTAAGGCCGAGTTAAGAACATATCCCATGATTCATTGCATCAATAAAAATAATTAATTTGATTGATAGAGAATGCTTCCGTGTTAAGTAAAACTACGATAGAGAGAATCCTACTGATTTTACTTTATTACTAGTGTAAAAACCCCTGTACTTAACATGATCATCGAAATGCTCCCCCGATACATAATATTTTCATCGCAGCATTGTAAGGGGGGAACTTTTAATTTTTTACAACCGAATCATTTATGTTTGCATGTCCGTAAGTTCTCTTTTTCTACTACATGCATAAAATTAAAAAATCATCGATAAGAAATATCTGAATTTGTATTCTGCTGTGGCTGTTGAGCGAAGTTTTAAATATGGAAAGGATGTGAGTGAGTGCTGAGATTTGTACAGTTCATTGTGCAGACTCGAAGCATCTGCAAATGCACTCGTAGCAGTCTACTTGTATGATAAAAGCTGGATGCACTGTTAGCTTTTTAGCCCAAAGGGGCCTTACCCTAGAACAAAAATTAGACTCGAAACGAATTTTGCGTAGAATCACTATAAAGGGCTGTACACTTTTCAGATTGCTGCTACCGAACATTATCAACTTGTACTGTATTTAAAGAAATCAAATAATGAAGAATCTGCATGAGTGTATGTATATTTCTCACCTTGTGAGAAAACGATACATAGAGTCATCAAATTTTGAATAAAGTAATCCTCCACCCGAATATGGGCACCTGGAAGCCCAATTCTTGAACTTTGAATTAGGTTTATTATCTAGGTCATATTTTTTAAACTTTAACGAATTTTTATTTAGAAACTCAACAATTTCAAAGCGAGCAGTGACAACATACTGTGCGGAATAAAATAGTTTTACCTCCAGTAGGCGGGAGTGTCTAACGTAAATTCTAAAGATATGTTGTTTTTAAATATTTTTAGCCCTAATTTTCTCAAAACGTGTATATATGTATACATGAAAAAAAACTTCCCTTTGGATGTAATATTAAATCTGAAAACTTCCATATTTTTTCTCCCTTGTAATTTTTTTTTAACTGAGGTGTTTCATGAATTCCTTTTATTTATTTCGCTCAAAATATTAGATGATGGTACATTTTCTAGCTCGCTGGATGGGTACTCTCTGTAAAGAGGAACTGGTAGGAAAGTGATAGAAATAAACGTCATGAGGCATTCCTTCAGAAACATAACCTTGTATCTCGGACAGATAGCTCTATCCTGGTGATTGAGCATTTTCTTTAACATATATCTGGAATATTTGGGAGTTCAAGACATTTGAATTTTCAAAACATTTAGTAGATAAAATATACGTTTGCAGTAGAGCAAAAGCTAGAATTTTCTTTTCTTCTATCGAAGTTTCGATAAAGATGATTAGTTAAAACATAAAATATAATGCTTTTTGAAAAGAAATACGGAAAAGCGTTTTTAGCAAATTTAATCAACCAGTTATTTCCTGTTTGCTTAAACATATAATCTATTGCTATTCTTGTAAAGCAAAGTACCAAAATTATTTTTTTTATTTGTACATTAAATTTAAGAATATAGTTTTGCTTTTATATTTCAATAAAAATAATCACGTTTCTCTAAAAATTTGTTTTAAAATTATTTTTGGTCTACATTTACAAAAAGAGCATTTATTATGGTTAACCGATAATTCTGGAATAAATAAAGAATAGAAGACATATACCTTACGTAACTATATGTAGACAACAATATTTCCAGTGAATAAAAAGTAACACCTTTTCTATTAAAACTTCATGGATACATACTGGCCGAAAATTGAAGACCAATTTATTCATCAAACACAATCATCTAAATTAATTTAGTAGCTTCTCAATAAATGTTCTGTAGTATATTCTTTTGGCTTTTCTTAAATAAAGTAAAAACATTAAGAAGTAAGTAGATTAAAGTTAAAAACATGTAAAAACATTAAGAAAGATTTATTTGGTGGTATTTGGTAAAAAGAATATTAACTGGAATTCCGGACATTTGGACTTCAGGTAATTGAAGTCCTGCCATAGCACAGTGGTCTGAAGTAACAAAAACAACACTATAAAAATGTATCTATAATTACTCTTCGAAATAAAAATTGTACGTTTAGTAAAAATTCCAGTTTTAAGGGTACATTGCACATTGCTCCATAAAACAATAAGGCAAAGTATTCTCACTGTAGCCACTACATTCTGATCAAATTGCAGAAAATCATTAAATTTCTGATATATCAGTCACAGCTGACAACCTGAGAAATGTGAAAAGCAGAACCATGTAACCTTAGTTGAATAAGTTGATGAATGAGGTACAAGACTTCGGATCTAATAGATTCTTACCCTTGTCGAATAAGTTTCCACGGATCTTTCATCATCCGTCAAAACTTCGCCTTTGTTCTAAGAAAGAATTCTATACATCTCTACATCAATAGTTCTAATTTGTGGAATTGTTTGGGTAATTTTCGAGATGTGTTTGTCATTACTAAGAGTGCTATCAGATCCTTATTTTTATAAAACTGAATATTTTCATTAACACAGAAAATAAGATATTATTTAGACCTGCTTTATATAGTGATTTATATGACAACAGAATTATAAACTATTAAACAAAACTATAAATGTAACATATTAAACGAAATAATGATTATAAAAAATTACAAAACTCTCTGATGAAAGTATAATATATCTGTAAAAAATACTCTGATGGTTATTCTAGAGCAGAAATGGACAAACATGTTGGACGAATCGCCACATATGGGATTAAAAGAAGACATGCTACAGACAAAATAGTACTTTTAATTGCAAATTATTGTTATCAGAAAAATTAAATTCTAATTTAAAAATAAATAGATTTCTGACAAAAATAGTTTATGACAGAAACTATATGCCATACGTCTTTCAAGTTACCGAAAACTGCCATATTTTGCTACTGAGCAGATTTTTTACGATCTACGAAACACTATTTTGATTTGAGCAATACTGTATTTATAAACTATAATTTATATGTGAAAGAAATAAACTTAATTTTCCAGCATCTGTTCTAAAAATATACTTCTGTGCATTGGCAAAAGTTACCTCAAAGCAGTTGATTATAATTTTGTTTATATTTTTATCTCCGAGCCAACACAATATTTGTTTATATTACTTTGTATCTTTAAAATAATTAAGGATTGCCTGTACAAAGTTTCTGCTAGCTTCCGGTAGATATACTGACCAGGAGAAGAATAGTTATGTAATTCTCAACTTGTAATATTCATATAACATTATATCTGTAAGCTGTAAACAATACATTCCTTAAAGATATTTGTAGCGCTAAGATAACTTTCAGTATTTTAAATGCAGCCTGCTGGTTATTTATTATAAAAATTAAATATAAAAAGCTTATAAACATTTTTAAATTAATTAAATAGTGATATAGTAGTTTGTCACTTTAATGTAGACTGGTAAAATTATTTTAACAAAGTATCAATAATTTTACCAGCGGTCAGCTATAGTTTCTGAAATTTGTATAGAATTGCGACAAATCTTATAAGTATATTAAGTGAATTCTTGTTGTTAATATTTATCCTCTTTAAAATAAAGTTCATTCTCTGCATTTATTCGCTACACTCATGCTAAAAGAATAGATAAACGCTAAAAGAAAAGGTACGAACGGGAAAAAGGGGAACTAAAACATACAATTTACATGTGAGGAAGAGGTTGCACATCCGAATGTATATAAGTAACAAGTATTAGCATAAACGTAATCCAGTTATCACCCTACAAAGCCTTAAAAATAGGTATGCCAGACCTGTGGATCAGTTACCAAGCAACGATAGTTCCGTATAATCCGAGATAGCCAAAACGAAAATCATGAACCGAGGACACACGATGAAATGCTTTGGGGGCCTGTCGGGATGTTGCAAGCTGGTGCAAGACAATCTGCTGTCGCGAGAGAGCTTAGCGGGCATCATAGCGTCATCAATAGGCTGTGGAATTACTATAAAAGAGATCAAAACTCATGTAGAACAAATGAGTCTGGACACCAGAGAAGTAACACAACGGCAAACGTTTACTTCCTTGAATATCGCAGTTGGAGTAGTAGGCCCACGTATTATATACTGATGAGTCTCGATTTAATATCCAGAGCGTTTCCCGAAGTGTAATGATATGGCGAGAGCCAGAGACACACTGTCGGTCGCCAACCATCGTCGTAAGACTATTACAGAGAGGAGAAGGCGAACTTGTGGGATAGGAACGAACGGCCGCACGGATCTTTGCATAATTTCTGCTGGTTCCGTCACAGCCGTCCGATATCGCGACGGAATTCTTCACCCTTTTGTGTATTCTTTTATCGCTGTAATGGTTATCAACAAGATATTTATGGCCTATCCCACCCACCTGCATAAAGCTAGTGGTGTGTATAGTTATCTGGAGAGCCAAACAATTTTGCATATGCTTTGGCTTGCTAGATACTGGACCTGAATCCCATACAGCATGTGTGGAACATGTTGGGACGACGAACAGCTGGTCTCAACGTGCCTCCAAATATTATCCACGAGTTTCCGATATGAAATGCGACAGAAATGGATGCTACTGCCACAACAAGCTATCAACGATATTCTTCCCAACTTGCCTTGCTGTTTTAAACAGACATTTCAGCTAGAGGGTACGATGTGAACCTGGTATTAGCGTGATCTCTCCACTGCAGTTTCTTCTGCCTCATTTGGTCTTTCGCAGTGTGATGATAGTAATGTATGTGTGTTTGGATGCCTTTGATTTAATGTTTGATATGTGGTCTAGTAACCCCACACCAGCATCTTGGATCAATTTCAAGCACTTCCGTTAAACAGTTTTTAATGTATTCTGCGTTTTGCCTCTGTCGCTTATCTTTTGAGCAAGAGTGCATATAATACTAATAGATATTTCTCTCTTTTGCAACGTCATGTTCGAAAATATCAGGTTACACAGGTAAATTCTAAAATTTGACAATCTTCTGTCCTCTTTCTTGGTAGATAAACTTTGATATTTGAAAGACAAACTGATAATGTTTTCTAAGATACAAACTACTGGTTCAGAAGCAGATTTTATACTTTCTTTAGGATAGAAAATAAAATAAAGCAATTGCAAATACCTGAATTGTTCAAAATTAGAAGTAAAAAGCATTTCTTAATTGAAAATTCACACGGTTTTAAGATACACACATACTATATATGTATATATATATATATTATGGAGCAAATAAAAGGAAATTTGAGCCTATATAAAACATCTGCATAATTACTTTCTTACACGAAGTAAAGAAAAACTTGCGTTTTCATTATACTTGTGTTTTCATTATGTGAACACAATGTTTTATGTTTTCTTAAAGCAAAAATCAAATTGTGAAATTTTAATGAACTCATTTCAAGCAAATTTGAAAACCCAGTACAACAGCATTTGTTTCTTTCACTGAAAAACAGTAATGTAATACGCTTTGAACGAAAGAAACAAATTATGGATAAAACGTGTATAAGGCTGTATACTAAAACACACGAATCAGAAGCTGATGAAAAGCATTTCCTGTAGTTCAAAACATGCCTAGCAAATGACACTAAGATTAATAACATCTGTTAATTTTCGATACCAGAATGGAAATTTACGAACATGTTGTAATTGAAAACACTTCTAATAAATACAGGCTGATGACAGGAATGCTGAATCGTTTTGTAATTGATTTGAAATACTTCCATTGAGTTTGAAGTACTGGTTAACTGCAAAGTTAATTAACTCAAATTAATTATATAGTAATTTTTTGTTTTCCCTTCTTGAACACTGGAGAAAACACGAGCAAACGATTATGAACGCAGAAATATAAAATAGGCATGGCACATATTTGCATCAGAATTAAAAAACTAGAAATGTAGAAATGTAAAACTTTGATTATGAAAGTAAAAATTAGAAATAGTCATAATACAGACTTGCATCAAAATGAGTTTTCTATAAGTGATCCTGTCGACTGCTTGTAATGAAGCGAACTTAGATTTAATGATGTAGAAATATTGATAGAGTAGATGTAGAACTATTGCGTTTCGTAAATGAACAGCAACTTAGCAGCCGATGTAGATTAAATATTCATTTATATTTTGGTAAATATTTTGTGGCAACAAACAAATTGGCATACTACTTGCGCCTTTTTCAAGAACCTTTATATTTTGGATAGCTTTGCGACGACAAAAGCAGCAGCAAGCAGCAGTATATCTAGGCCGAGGTGTAGAAAGCAATTGTCTAGCGTTCAAGATGAAATCTTAATTCATAATGTGTTAGTTTTGATTTTCAGTGAATTTGACTGGATAATTCATAATGCTGAAAATGTATTGTTGGGTGTTTGAGGTTTAGTTCCATTTATCTTACCAGCATTTAGTTATAGCCATAGGACATACAAAGCAATACCAAAAAAAAAAAAAAAAAAGTATAGTTATTTTTATAGAGAGGGGACCATCCCAAATTAAAATTAAACATTTATAGACTGTTTTAATTTAAATTATAATTTATATTTACATATTTTTATCTTTATTATATACATGTCTATATATAATTCTTCTTTTAGTGAGAAGAGGTCAAGGGTGCCATGTTGGGCAGTCAAACTACCGGGATGGTGAAACCTTTAAGTTGGATTGTAGGACGCAGTGCACTTGCCAGAATGGTACGTACGGATGCGTGTCACTGTGCCCTCACGAAAACGTGCGGCCTTCCTCTAAGTGCCATCATCCACAACTGGTAAAGATGCATGAATCCTGTTGCAGGGAATGGCTCTGCGATTCAACACTTATGGAAGGTAAAATACTTGCTTTAATTTTTCTTTTCCTCGTTCGCCATTTCTAAAAAATACGAAATATCCTATAAATAGGATCTTTCCGAAAGATTGCCTGCTAAAAAGCTTTTGAGTAGTTCGTCGTAAAACATGAATCTAGTTTAAAAAATGAATCTAAGAAATAATATAAGTGTTTGGGCTTAAACCCCTTTTATCATGTGATAATAAGAGAGCAAAAAGACGTTTATACACATCCGGTAGAAAACAAATATTGGTACGAGAAATGATTTTTATTGCTGGATTAAAAGTAAATATTGCTAACCTGGCTATTTTGTCACAAGTTTCGAGGAAATGTTTACATTTTGCACGGAAGTTTAATTGTGTTTAGTAGAATAAAAAACAATTTAATAAACTGAGCTTTCTGCGTAGTGGGTAAGTATAAAAATTCAAATTTTGTATAATCTTACTGAAATGCGCCTCGCGCCTAAAATTATTTTAATTTGATTATTTGATTCATTTTTAGAAATGGGACATCTATAGTTCTGCATTGTCTATGGCTTGTAGTTCTGCAATTTTTCTAAAAGAATCTTTATATCTGAAGAAGTATTGTTATTTATTTGTCTACGCGTAAATTTCAGGAATAGAAAACGCTTTTATTTATTTACATCAGAATATATGCTTCGCTACTCTATGCATCTCATATCTGGTATCCGCATATTATTACTGATTATTTCGGTATCGATAAAATCAGTGTACAATGAAATTAATGCATATGCTAAAAAAATAATCTGTTCATTCCTTTTAAATTAAAATAATGATGACGATGATAATATTAGCCAAAATACTAATAGTTCCATGGTAACATTAAAATTATCATTCGTTTTTAAAGCACAGTTTGAGTGCAATATTCACTGAATTCTTGCTTTCAGAAATTTGTGATTAATATGCTGAAATTAGGTGATAATCTATAAAATACTTTTAGCGTTTTAAAATGAAAATAGGAAATACTGTATAGTACTTCGGATAATATTTTTATGAATTTTTATTTTAAGCATTTATAATTAGTATCTGATGGAATTTCTGTGTAGCAGCATTTAGTTTAATTAGATCTGATTTTTATATTCGCTTTTTATTAATAAATACTGAATCGGAAAATGAGGTGGTTCTCACGCAATATCAAAAATAAGCTTATAATTTTTATCCTCCTTGAATAGTAGGTAGCCTTTTAGAATTTCGTAAGTATTAAACAGGTTAAAGTAAAGAAATGAAAATATGCATTTACGTAAGAGAGTTTATTTATCAATGTTTCCTGTTTTCAAGTGACAGGTTTCCTATTTTGACAGGTGAATAAGTTTTGTCGTATATCTTTCGTTTTTCGTGTTTAAAATATTAGATGTGCAAATATAAAAATGTTTTGTGACACATTTATGTATATTTTATGCTGGTATGAAAGAAATCCGTGCATAAATATTTACTAAATATTCAAGGCCAGTTTAACTTAATTTATTATATATTTGTAAGCTATAAGATTCGAGTGAAAATGTTTTCAAATCATTTAAAATCCTCAAAACCCTTTTTTAGATATTTGTCAAAGTAAAAAAAAATAATAATACAAATAAAATTAAATCAAATGTTTGAGTTCCAACAGCCACCAAGCGAACCAAAGTATCCATATGAAAACACATATGTTTAGTGGAATATTGTATCTTCTAATTATGGCATAGATGTCTGAGTAAGTAGAGGGATTTCTTGAGGATTTTGTACATAAAGCGTACGTATCGACATTAACATAGGAAAATCTCAAAAACGAATATACAGCTAGCTCTTTAGCCGAAATATAAACCAGGATCAAAATACCGTGTTAAGCGAACCTCTCCGCTTTACCACTGGTGGACCACTGGATGGAAGAAATAGAAGCCCTAAGTTCCTTTGATATAATTAGTCTCAAAAACTTCAAAAGTATTGACGTTTGAGCTGTTTTTATAGCATGTAGGAAATGTCGTTTCAAAACTATTAAAAACTGTTATCGTTGTTCATATTTTGTCCATAATGGTCACATACATGGATACCTAGCTGTGATGTGATAATTAAGTTTGGCATAGGACTTAGAGGCTATGTGAATGCGGAAAAATAGCTCTGTGATAAACTTTATATGGAAGATTTGCTTGCATCTACGTCACACAACAAGGCTGCTAAATAATCTTTTCAACATAGCCGGAAGGTAACTAGGGAGAACCGCCTCTTTCATGGAACGTAACTATTTTTGCATAGTTTAATATTTTCATAAATGAATGGCTAATGACATAAGAAGAAAGGGGTAAATGCTAAATGTATGTTTTGGAATCGATATCAGAAAGAAGCAGTTTGAAACAGAAAATGCGAAAACGTTTAGATTTTTTTCAAGAATCAAAGAACAGAAGTAATACAAAGGGAAAAATTGCAGCCATCAAAGCATTGCTAGTAGTTTGGAGAAAAAGAGACCATTCTGATCAATAAAGAAGGCAGCTTATACCAAAGGGTATCTTCCAGTACACATTATACTAAAAATCGAAAAGTCAAAGTTTTCTTTACGCTCCTTATATAGATTCTCATCTAAACTTAAGTACTGCCACAAAGCGCCGATGCTTCAACCCATATTATCCGATTCTTTTTTCGGTTCTTTTCCTATTCTTTGTTTGAATCAGAAGAGAGGTGGCTCCTTTGTTCGTTATTGCAAACGTCATGGCCAATAGCAATTGTTTGATGCCAGTCTCCTATCGGCTTCCAGAAAAAGATGGTCCAATGTTTGTTGAAGGAATTTTCCCCAAATATATATAAGAATTTACCTTGTTTATTGCTGTAGTTAACCTCTAGTTATAGGCTTTCGGGATTTCCTCTTCCCTCTGTGAAACTTTATTGATTTCTTATTGTGGTTTTTGTCGAGCAGTAATAACGTATAATTAATCCGATATGTGAAATTTATCTTTGTTAATTTCTTTCTTTAACTTTTATTTAACACTTTTTTTAATACAGAATAAGGAAATAATTTTATTTTCTATTTCTTGTGCCAGGACAGTAGCAGTTTGCCTCAACCTATTTTTGATACGCTTATAACTTTATAACTACGCTTATAAATATTTTTTGAAAGACTGTTTCGCAAATATAAGAAGTAACTTTCTTTACTGCTACAATTAAAAATTAGTTATAGGCTCTCATGAGTTTCTTCGCGAAATTTTATTGATTGTTTTGTTTTTGATTATTGCCGTTCGGTAATAAAGCGCAACTAACACAGAATGTGAAGTTTAAATTCGTTAATTTGATTTTTAGAACGAATTTTGATTTTCCTGGGATATAAATTATAAAAAAATGCATTGTTATTTTCTATCGTTACAAACAAAACTTCAATTTGTTTTAACCCTTTTTGACACTTTTGTAACACCTGACTAGCCTGTTGAACTGGATAAGGAAAAAATAAATTTTTAAGACTATCTCAGCAAAAGATATATACATATATATTTCAGCAGAAAATGTAAAGGAATTATGTTTCAGTACAGCTTCCCTAAGACGATCGTACACGAATCCAAATGATTTGGGTTATTTTCAGATGTGCTGACTACAAAAGGATTCAGTGCATTTACATTCAGAAAGAATGTTAAAAATGATTAAATTGCTACACAATATCTTCTTAGTCAAAAGTTAATACAGTAAGGTAAAGCGTACTATATAAAGTAACATAAGTTTCAGAAACTAATATTTTTTTTTTCCTTAAAACTATGAGTCAAATTTTCTTCTGATAATCTAGACCAGGTATATCTAACCCTAGACGACCTGAACGTTGCATGAAAAAAATTTTTTGCGGCTCATCTCGAAGAAATAAAAAACACATTTTTTACGATAAATAAATAAAAATTTGAATTCCACCGAATATTGAAGCTTGTATTCACCCTCGGTTGCGAAAATAGACTCTTGCGGCGGTCTCTTTACAAAAATACTCTCTGAGCTGACGTTAAGAATATATCAACCTTTTTACAGATGGGAATTAGTAGAAATTCAGTGCGACTCAACTTTAAAACTGTGAAGTGCACATCCTCGAATTTTACCATGACTTGCTATTCCCCTAAAGACGCCAGATTAAAACGTACTCTGTTTTTATGTTCATTAGTAGGTGTCAGTGTGAACAACTTTTGTCACTAAAGAAAAGGAAAAAGTTTCTAGCAAAATCCAGATTAAGAGACATTAATTTAATTTCTGTTGAAAGTTATCAGCCTGAGAACATTTATCCAAACATCTGAAAGCTGGTCTGAGTGAAAAGGTGCCATGCGTCGGCAGAAAATAATAAATACTTATTTACTATTTAGATTTCTCTTTTTTTACATATATTTTTTTAAGAATTACATATCAGTGGTATTAGGATTAAGAATTTTTACATGTACCGCATATACTCGCGTATAATTCGATACCGCGTATAAGTCGACCCCCCCCCACTTCGACATAAAAAATTCGTAGAAAATAAGAAACCCGCGTATAAGTCGATCCCCTCCCCACTTCCGAAATCGATCGAGAAACTTCGAAAAAATTTTTTTATGTACTACATTTATTCAAAATCATCTGAGAAAAAAAGTAAATATACGATAAAAAATACCTTGGTAAATAAACAAAATCCAAATCCTTCAACGTCCGATTCATGGTCAGATTCGCAAAACATTTCATAGAACTCTTCTGTCGTCATTGGCTCGTCATCATACATATTTTCAGTCTCGAACTCCGTATTGTTACAATCACTACTAGAGCCTTCGTCGTCATTTTCACTTTCAAAGACAGCATCATCTTCCGTGCCGTCTAGTTCGTTGCTAATACAACATTTTTTTAAATGATTTTATAATCATTTCACAGGGTATTTCGTTCAAAGCATCTTTAACCCACTGAGCAATTAATGTAATATCGGGCTTTTTAATGTTGCCTCCCTTTGTAAATGGTTGTCGACCGGAACTAATCCACTCTGCCCAATATTTTCTTACTTTACTTTGAAGGGCTTATTGAGGCAGACATCTAGGGGTTATCGAAACTTACTCTAGTTAAAGTATGAAACTCTGTGTATAATTCGTCACATAATTTAAGTCATGAAATTACTTCAAGTAAGTGACTTATTTGATAAGTCGTCCAATTTGAGTGCGGGAAACTGCATTAAATAAATAAACTGCAATAAATAAACAACTGCATTAAATAAAGAAATTTTGAACTTCCGATTCTTTTAATTTTTTATGGCCCCGCGTATAAGTCGACCTCCCCCTTTGAAGTCTTTTTTTTTGGTCCAAAAATATCTCGACTTATACGCGGGTATATACGGTATATTTTTTCGCTAGCTATGAAAATGGCTGTTTGTTTCTTGCGGCTCGTTCTATTGTGCGTTGATGACTATCTGGCCCATTTCACATGCTGAGTTAGGATGTCTGGGCTTACGGTTAAATCTTTTAATATGCTTAAATAGCTAAGGAGCATAACTTTTCTATCTTTCGAAAATCAACAGCAACAGTGTTTACGGGGGGGGGGCATTACGCAAACTAACTTCCGCTGTGGCGTGGAACTACTAGCACTGGGTGGAGCGCAACAACTGTTACATCAACCAATCTGATTCAGTAAACTTCCTGCTGTCCCAGTGACAGTGTCGTATTCCGCACATGTGCTGGTTAGAAGGTCACAAAATGTGCGTTGGTATTGAAAATCCTGCCAAATGCGAAGTAAGAGCAGTAATACGACTTCTTTGGGAAAAACATTGTCAGCGGTGGACATTCATCGTGAATTGTGTGTCGTACACAGCCCAAACATTATGAGTGTGCAGGGTTGAAGTGTGAGGATGTAAATTTAAAGTTAAGTGAAGTGCTTATTTAAACGGGTGAACCTGAGATTATTCAAAGCGTGTTTCTCTAGCCAAACGCATGTTTCGTTGTTGTTTCACTGTTACGCTAGTAAGAATCTTGGACATATCGGATTTATCATCACGCCGGTTGGGGGTCTTGTGAGTCCACCTGGTAGGCGTTACTTAAGTGCTATTTTGCACTATTTATTTTATGTTTGACTTAAATTATATTCTACGTTTTTAGTTTCACCGCAGTTGGACGGTGTCTTTGTAACGCACGAAGCCCGTGTTTTTCTGTTAACTGTTTTGACTTTAGTTTAAAGGAATATTTTTCCCCCTTTTTGAGTCAGTAGTTTTCTTCACGCCCGTGCATGAATTCGTCAGGTACTTTTAGGATCTACTTTAGTTTATGAAGAACAAGAGAGAAATACTATATAAGTGAAGGTGAAGTTGGTCACCATGTTGTGGGATGCTAATGGAATCTTGCTTGTCGAATTCATTGAATGTCGTACGACAGTCAATTCTGAAGTGCACTGCAACACTGTTGGCATAATGCTATGACAGGTGCTTCAATGTATATGCTGACTAAGTTGAAAAACAAATGGAAAGCTTTTCCTTTCAGATGCAAATAAAAAACTTGTTGAGGGGTTTTAATTTACAGGGAAACGGAGGTTAATTTTCGAACTGCTCTCGTATATCTGAAATATTTTGTATACTAATACGCTCAGAATGTTGGAAGAAAACGCCTGCAGATAACTTAAATTTAAAAAAAAGTATTGTCTAATCTCCTTCTAAATAACAGCCTCAAAACGGACATATTTGCTGCAGATATTCTGATATTCCCTGAAGCAATGGTATAATGCTTCGTTTGGTATTTGTCAAAACTAAGCATTTAGATAAAGCATCGAATTCTATAAGCTAGCTTGAATTGTCTTAAACCTTTCGCTTAGGGTAGCATTGCGGTTCATAAATTGAAACATATGAAAGGTAAAGTAGCTATGGCCTTATAAGATCAGTTCTTTATCAAGGATATCCAGCTTATTTCCTGAAAAGCCCTTTGTCGAAATGGAACATCTTGGCAAATGCTTGAAAGGTACATCATTTCGATTACAACTGAGACTACATTTTTCTGCATGACGTAATTTTATATATCTCTTTTATGAAAAATACCTTGTAGGATTTCACTTGATCTGGTAATGCTATAACGCTAACAAACGTGAAGCGAATTATCACTATGTTGGAAACAACAACAAAATAGTGAGAAGAATAAAAATCAACTTTGTATTTGTACAAACTTTAGAACACAAAGACCCTCTGTTATGCTAAAATGTCATAGTGATGCAACAAATAGAACAGCCAAATTTAAATCAAGCACTGAACAGTCGTCAAAGGCTACACATCTAACTATTACTAGAAGCTGGCTTACTACTCTACTGGGGCGTCAGAATCAAAGTGTCGGCAGCGATAGAATGCAAAGCCGAATAATTACAACTATCAAAGCTAGTTGGAAACTAACAACCTTAGCGCGCACGCGGAAACGCGTTATTTCTTAAATTACAAAAACCTTAATTTAAATACTGGCTACTTATTTGCATTCTGGTGAGGAATAAAAAAAGTAGAATTTATAATAAAAGCTGAAATTATAAATAACTGGCTAATAAACGTAAAATTCCGTGCAACCTAATGCTACTAACGGGAGTTTCATACGTGTTGCATGACCTTAACGGGAACACTCAAACTGAGGAATATCTTCTAATGTTTATAACAAAAAAAGACGGAAGAATTTCTTATTCGTATCTTTAAATATTCATGCAGATTATTAATAAACGCGTGTTATACCATTGTATTTATCGGATATTCTTTTAAATAAGTATATTTTATATTGAAATTTTTATGAGATAATGTAATTAAAATGTTTAATCACCTGGCATAATATACATTTCAGTGATTTGATGCAATCAGAAAAAAATCATAAGGAAACAGTCTACAATTAATGTTTAAGTCATTGATGTAATTATATTTATTAGTTACGCATTCATTTATAAGCGGAATGTTCAACATTCAGCTAAGAAATGTTTCAAAAAATGCTCTTGTTTTTTACTCGGTTTTGAACCTCAGAGCACTCAATACACTCTTATAATTTCTGAAAAGATTACATCATAATTCTCAGAATAATTTTCAGTTACATTCGTCATCTCTTCATTGCATTCTCGTTATAGAAGAGGGAGATTTCATTTACATATGCTTGACATGTCATGCATATTGATCAAGCTGTCCATATCTTAGGTCCAAAATTCGATAACAGACTAGTATTCGATGCTGACTCTTCTTTCCCTTATTTTCACCAATACCAAGATATCATACTGATTTCACATAGAGCTTGCAATAGCTTAATAGAGGAAATTCTTGCAAGAGAAGTGCATATATAAAGAAAACGAATATAGCACCCATATAACATTACAAGTATATTTAAATATTGTACAATAGATTATGTACGGAGAAACTTGTCAAATATTTCACTTATTGAATCTCCACGTTAAATATAAAACAGCATGACTACCTTTTTCCATGACAAAGGAAAAAAATAAATATTTGTAATTTCTCTATTTATATAACAAACTAAACATGTATTTTAAAAATGAGTAAGTTAATGAGCTAAGAAAATTGTTTTGCAAAAGTTTCTTGTCTTTACGCCTATTCCGATTTAAATAAGAAATTAATACTGATTGTTTATTATCGATTTCTGTTCCTTGCAGACCGTAAAAAACACTGCCAATCGTATACCAGCGAATGGACGCCTTGTTCCACAACCTGCGGTATGGGAATATCATCACGCATATCCAACGATAATCCTGAATGTGAATTGAAAAATGAAACAAGGTTGTGTCTTTTGAGACCTTGTCCGAGCGGAGAGGATTTGCAGCTGATTACTCCTCATGGACACCATGTAAGAGTAGGTTCAAATTTTTATATTCCTTAGTTTTAAAGACTCTACTAGAAAACCTATAAGAAATCAAAGTATATTCTGTAAGTTCAATAAATATTTTATTAGTTCAAATGGGCGTTAGCCAAGAAGGGCTATTAGTCTCGAATCACTTTTCAAATTGTTGCCACTAAATATTACCGCCCTGAATTTTATTTAAAGAAAATAAACAATGATAAGTCTACATGAATTTGCGTATGTTTCGCGCATTGTGAAAAAACAACAGTACACAGAGTCATAATCCTCCACATGAATAACATAATCCTCCACCCTAACTTGGGGACATGGAATCCCGAATTTGAAATTTGGAATTTGTTTTATTGTCTATTTCATATTTTTTAAACTTTTAACAAATGTTTGATTAAAAAACTCAACAATTTCAAAGCAAGCTGTGGCAACAATGTAAGGAATAAAACATTTTTATCTCCAGCGTGCGAGACTATCTATTGGAAATTCTAAAGATAGATTGTTTTTGAATATATTTACCGCAATGGGGCGTTAACCCAAACGCTCTTAAAACGTAGCTTGGGCGTAAATCTGAAACCTTTCAGATTTTATTTTATTTATTTATTTAGTTTTACATTTTTTCTACAAAAGAGAGCAGACGTGCACATATTTTTGTGCCAAATTCATATATGTCTTGAATAAATGGCATATATTTTTATGTGCACTTCAGTTATCCGCTTTTTTCCATTGCTATGGATCTGAAATTCATATCGGTGTTAAGAATAATAGCTCGAATTCAAAGTTAGGAATTTATTTTAGCAACATCCCTTTATGATTAATAATACAATAGAGGACTGAATGCTGAAAACTCTTCAAGACTTGTTTTCCCTGTAAGCTAAACAGATAGAGAAAAAAGTACTGATCATGATAATAATCTTAGGTAACTTATGCATAACTGAGAACTGAAACTATTCCAAATGTGGCACTAATTTCCTGCGAACGATCGATTGGATTTTTGTGGTCAAATCAAAAAATGGGTAAAATGAAGATCTTGCTGAAGTTCAAGTAATCACCAACACATAACAACTCATCGATAATCTTAAAGGAACTTGAAATCATATTATTCTATGTCCATTTATCTTACTTAATACGCCATCCTTTTTGCTACCTCATTTTAATTATTTACTTTTTAAAAATACATTTCCATGCTTTCACTCAAGACCATCTTTATTTTAAGTACATCTTCAAGATCTCCCAAGCTGAATCAAGAATTTAAGAATATTTTCTAACTCCATCTCCTTAATATATTAATAAAGTATCAACTCAAGATTATTAGTCAAGACTTTACACAAGAATTACTCTTTATCAAGAACTTTTCATTCAAGTTATCCTAATTCATTCAAATACTATTTCTCATCAACTTTTATTTGGTTACTGCTCTTCACTCTCCATAATCAAAATCTGTACTCTCATTCTAAACTCTTTACAAAACTTACATTCTCAGCCCCGTACTATTCTCATACATTATGTTGTTTGTTCATTTTCAAAATTTGTAATGATCTTCTTAAGTATTTACTTATGTATTTATGTTTCATTTACTCATATATTTATTTAGGTAGTAGTATGTATTTATATATTTAATGTTAAAAAAATTTATTATATAATTCTCAAAATTCTAATACTATATTGATTCCATATATAACCACATTGTTTAGCCTTTTATATATAATTCTAATTTTTTAATTTTTATTTATTGGATCTATTTATGCATTTATATATGTATTTCTTGAGATATTTAATTTTTATTATGTAATTATAAACAAATTATTGTATTTTATATATAACAACACAGTTGGTAGATGATTCCATCAGTTGAACATAAAAGCTGAATGTCTTAAAAGTGGTGCTGCTGCTCATCTGATGGGAGGTAAATAAATAAAATCACCAACACACGCATCTACTATTTATTTGTGAATTTCAGTCAAGATTCTCCATTTAGCGTGGGAAAACGTTTTTCAGTTCCAGACACTTCATTCGCTACAGCTGATTCAGAAAACTGGTGTTAATTAACCTACTAAGTAGTTGGCGTAGTTGTCTACCGATCACCAAGAAAGGGGAGGGATAAGAAAAACCACTGTACTTTATTTTTGATCCTTCCTCGAATTTAATAACATCTTTAATTATTTATTTAAAATTGCTGCGAATATTTAACCAGAAAGGCACACGAACTAGCTTTGCTGACATTTTGGTTCATTACTTTAAATTTTATAACATACATCCGTATTATATTTCTATATATTTGTGTATGTGTAGTAGTGTGTAAGAGAAATAAGAAAAGGAAACTAAAAGAAAAATGACGTTGCATTAGTTTTGCACCAAACGCAGATACAGTAAATGCGATAAAGTAAGAAACTCTGCAGGAAAGTTTTACATCCATCATGGTTCCTAAGCGTGAAAGGTAAATGATAAAAATAAAAGGAAACCATACTATTAATGGAAGATGTAAAAGGAACGGAATCAGTACGTAAAACTACAGCTGTTTATCAGAAAGCAGACTACCATTACGTGAAAATGTCTGATGCTAAATGAAGAGCTACAATTTTACATAATCATTTCTTGCATTTTATTTCTTCTACTAATAAAAGAAATTTTACTTTATCTTGTGGGTAACTGAAGTGCACGTAAAAATATATGTATTCGTTTTTAATCTCCCCAAATTATTTATTTTCTATTGTGTCGTTTTTGGCACCATAGAGATATAATTCCCTGGCTTTTACCCTTGCAGTCATATCTACCCATATTTAATTGAACACTATTAAACGCAGTTTTATACAACTAGAATCTCACATTGCATTTCTATCACAATGAGAATACTAAGTAACTAAGTGATTTTTACAAAAGAACCGTAAGCAATGGAAGGTTGTTCGAACATCAGCTTCAATCGAAAACTTAAATATAAGTCAATTATTATTTACTAGGTTCGAAAAAAAGAGGATGAATTCCAGTCAAAACGTAATTACCTTATACGGCATAAAAGCCGCTTGTGAGCTTTACTAGGAAGCGCCGTTTGTACTCTTTTACTAGGAAACCACTTCTATTATTTTCAACTTCCAAGACTCCTATCTGCATGTTCACTTGTGATCGTAAAATAATAATGGTGTTTGGTGGTTTAGAATCACCATTAAAAATTTATTAACAGCTTTTGGTGACAATTTTTACGTCACATTTACTCCAATAAAAGTTTTATGAGTTAGATATTCCAAGCTTAAAGCAAGATGTTTTTGGAATATATGAGACATGTTTTATCGTAGAAACCTATCTCATTTAAATCGATAGCGAAAGCTTAAACTTTGAGGGACACGTTTCTAGCCTTAGCAGTAATAATAGCTTTGTTGATAAAATTACAAAAGTATTTATTTTAAATTGTTAATTGAATTTAACACTTAGTTTCAGCTTAAAATATTTATGGCTTAGTGTCAGAACACGGACACATAAAACACCAAGCAAATTGATAATTTTGTAATAACTTCATGTGAAAAATATTCCTGTCTTAATAAATAAATATTTGTTATTACGCATGCATGTTATCACACTTTCTCTCTCTTATTGCCTTTTAATATTTCATTTTTATTTGGAATTATAATATACTATCTCTCTGTATATACTGTTATGTTCATAACGGGTACAGTACCGATGATAGCTTGATAAAATTTTTCCCCCAGAACAAACACTTTATACACTTCTGGGACTTTTCGCAAACTCGTACAGCATTTCTCAGTATGACAGAACGCAATCAGTAAGTAATACTTAAAATTATAGAGAACGTTAAACACAAAAAAATATGCGGAAGCTCTTATAGTGATCTTTCATCTAAACTAAATACTCTGAGCTAAACTCTGAACTTACTTCTGAATTAAACTGAAAATTTTGATACTCTTTCCGGTCGTATATAAATTTCCCCACCCGCCGAGAAATTTCCATTTCCTAAGATTCTCGAAATTGCTCGTAGCTAAACTCTGAACTAACTATGTAACTGTTACTGTAACTAAACACAGTTACAGTCAACTATCCGACCCTATATAAGTGTAACTAAACGCAATTACGGTTACATATGGCCGAATACAGTTTGCAGTTACATAGAGACTGGACCAGTTACAGAAATACTGAGATCGGGAAAAATGTCGCCAGCTGGTCGCCGAGATTGGCAGCTTTTGGCGAATTCTCGCGAAATTTAATTAGTCGCTTAAACCCTCGTCATTTTGGCGTACTTTAATGTTAAATCGATTTAACACTGTAATCCTATTTTTAGGGAAAGGTTTGTATTTCTGAGGCCTTTAACGTTACATTATACAAAAGCTGCTACATTACGCTGCTACTTCGAGCTGTTATATGTAAAACATATTATTTCACAAAACGTTTTTACATATGTACAAAATTCGTAACAATATTATTGTAAACGTATATGCAGTTACATCACATTTAACAGAATGTGTACACTTCTACAAATATATTACATACATTTACTTTAACCAGTTTAATAAAATGAGAAAAATTAAAGACTTAATTCTGAAAATCTATGCAGGTTATCCAGTTGAATGTGAAAATATTTTTTAAAAGGAAGTATATTCTTGACTCTTTGCGAATGGGGTGTTAAAACATTGTCGTACATAGTTTTATTTTTACGTTTTCTCTTTAGTAGTGTTTTAATTTTCTCAAATAGTCAAGAAGGATGAAACGAATTTTGAGGTAATCACACCTTGATTAGCTTATTTCAAACATTAAACTATGTAAAATTAAGTTAGAGTTTGTTTTAAATATTATATACAAATTTTATACTTAAAAAAATGGAAAATTAAATTTTTTATTGCTTAATCTTAATTTCTACTTTGATCGTAATTTATTACTAATGGCAATAGTTCTTTACACTCACTTATTCTGACTTTCCAGAATAGTATAATCATTATACATCGAAAATTTACATATATGTATATGTATGTGTCAGTGTAAGGTAAAAAAAAAATATGTAAATTAAAATTATAACTTAAATTAGCATTAACCCCTTAATTCTTCATTTAAATTTGGGAATTTCACCTCCCTGCTCTAAAAATGGTATAATAACTTTTTCTAGACTGCGACATTTCTAGTTATCTTATGACTTTTACATAACGATGATGACGTAGCTAATTCGCACCGAAGCCTTTGTCTTAATAAAGCTTCCATACTGGATAACTACGAGCTTGTTTTCTGCACCCCCGGCATAGTTGGACTGCTGCTAGCTGCTTTTCTTCTTAACGAAAAGCTATGTTGTTATTGTCGTGCCCGTATTATATGGAACAATGGTTGCAAGAGCTGCTCCGAAAAGAATTTTAACTTCTATATTCCACCTCCAATTTTGAGGAAGAGAACTCCGGGGGGAAATGCGGGGGTTCCCATTCCTCTCCTCTCCCACCCATTCACACGAGAGGACTTTCGGCTCACCGCATATTTAGAGTGCAGCCATGCCGCACCGACAAATATATGTATTTGCAAACATCCATTTCTTCTCTGCGATTCGAACCCGCGCCCGTAGTAGGCTACCCTAACCACTATACCTTCTGGGCGACATGCAAAGCTATGAAAAAGGTAAATGATTTGTATCAGGCACAATTAAGGTGCCGAATGAACTGTGGCCACAGATGTCAAATGAAATAAAAATGAGTATTTAATCTGCCTCGACTGCCAAGTTTGCTGTTCATTATGAATTAACATTCATGCAATCTATGTGCCTATATTATTACATCTATCTTTATATATGCATGTATTATATTTTGTGAACATTCATTAAATATTCATTTACATTTATTGATTTGCGTTACTGTGCGTAAATATAGGTTTACGTTCAGCAATTGTTAATTACTTATAATCATTTGTATTATTTTGAACTAATGTACAGTTGTTGTATAGTTAAAAATAGAATTCTTTTATCAAATTTTAATTATAAGATAATGTTTTGCGTAACTCTTGGCAACTAATATTCATAGGTGGATTTTAAAAAAATGCTTTTTGGGGTTACCAATTTTCTGATGATCACAATAAATATTTGCTTAGCAACGTGACAGCTAATTTTTTCGTTTAAAATGCACAAAATGTATTATGATAACTGCAAACACATACAATTTTTTAAAATTTTAATTATATAATGATTTGATAAGGAACATATTTTGCAATCTCTAATTGTGAATATGATAGGCTAATTAGCAATAAATTGCTTATATTTCCTCTTATTTTTTTTTCAGAAAAATCATGTATGTCGCGCCACAGTTCGCAGCACCACTCCCATACGTCTAACCGACGATGGCAACTGCACTAGCGTTGAGCTGTACCAACCGAAATACTGCGGATACTGCACTAGTCATCATTGTTGTCATCCAAAAGTGACCACAAGCAAAAAGATCCAATTCAAGTGCATTGACGAAGAAGGCACAAATATTATGCAGAAAGAAGTCTTGTGGATTATCAAATGCAACTGTACAACGGTTTGCTAATAATAGGGCCTCAACCTATTTTGTAATATCTCCTTCTGATGCTACCGTCCAATTAATATACCATAATCGTGTTTTTAGCTGATACATCGTTTGCGAAGTATAACAAAATGAGATTTTAGATACATATGAAAATACTTGTTTATGTCCAGTCTGCAGAGGATGTGGAGATATACGTGTCCTCGCAATGCTATGGTGTAAAGCGGAACTAAGAATAAACACAAACTTTCGTTATACAACTATTTTAGCTAGCTATATTTGTTGTCGAAGTTTCGCTGTTGTCTTCATAATTTCAATATGTCACTCGTAAAAAAGGTCGTATTTTTTTTCTGTTTTATTAAAACCTTCATTTAGGTTAAACTCTGATAAAGTCATAAAATATTGCAAAAATATGTGTTGTGTATAGTCAGCTTTCGATTGTAAGAGTTTATCATCTAGAAATAGCTCTAAAATAATTTTTCTCATATTGCATAAAAATGCGTCAAGAAAAATATTAGTAAAATTTATATTGGAATAATACTAGTGATATGCATAAAAAGGTTTGACACATGTCATCAATTACAAACAGCGAACGGGTAAAAACATAAAATTAATAAATAATGTTTGAGTAAGCTAATCTTTTGAAAAGCATGCATTTATTTTAAAATTCATCTTTTAACATTTGCATCTAAAACTGTATCTCTCCATTTTTAACATAAATTATTTTAGGTTATTGGAAGGTATTTCTTGGTGTCTGAATTGTGTATATTATGGAACATACGAAAGTTACGTTACCTTAATTAACAATTACAGAGGATATCGTGTATTCATATACTTTATAATGTATACTCAAATAATACAGTTTGTTTTAGAATGGGTTTGCTAAGTATAGCAAATCTTGTACACATATCTTGTACAGCTCGTATGTAAATTAGTGCTAAAAACTAAAGAAAACATAAATTATATATATATATATAAATTTTTTTGCAATAAACACAAGTAACGCGTAGGTTAACTTTAAAAAAAATATTTTTTTATTTTTGTACCTCACGTAATAAACTGACGAATAAATAAGTAATTTTGCTAAAAATTGTAAATGCAAAAGTGTAAAATAAGTTCTTATTCTTCATCCTGTATTAACGAAGCTAAATGTGCACAAATATTTAAAATTGGTACAACCTCGAAAAATCGCAATATCCTAGAAATTTCACTTTCCCACAGTAAGATTTAAAAGTTTATCTTTAAAACTAAGCCCGAGATTTTTAATCTGTTAATCACAAATTTTAAACTCATTTTATATGTTTCCTCATTTTTTACGAAGCGAAAAAGCAGTATTGTAATCGAGAAATTTCGGTTATGATATTTCAACAGAAATATCCATTTTGAGAGTTCCCGAATCCATTTGAATGTTTTTTTTTTGTGTTACGTCTGTACGTGCAGACAGAATAAGTCTCTTTTTTACTAAACGGGTTGTAAGATGAATTTTAAATTGTTTTAAAAGGGATTTTTTTTCGTGACGTCTGTGCGTACGCACGTGTGTATGCATCTCGAAGAACTCAAAACCGATTAGCCGTAGAACACTGAAATTTGCATATGCGACTTCTGTAATCTAGACTTCTGACATCTAGTTGTGCACCTCCCGTTTTTTTTTTTTTTTTTTTTTTTTTGCTATCGGCAATTCTCAGAAAGTCTATACATATATATCTACCTACACCCTTACATGGCTTGAAAGTCCTACCTGGCCTTTATTTTACGCAATGTCAAGTTTAAAAGAAAATAAATTTCGACTAATAACGAAATCTAACTTTTAATGCAGTCTCCCGATTCCTATACTTATATTTGGGATATTTAATTTTAAAATTTGCAATTTTTTTGCGATTTTCATCTTTCATTCAGGGACCGGTTAATTAACTTCGAATAATTCGAGGTAATAAGTTTAAATGAAATGCAGCAGCACGTATGTATAATTTAGTAGGCCGTATAATTGATTCGCATAGTGTCCACATCATATTTTTTACTAGATGTTATCAAAAATTAAAATCTATAGAAGTCTTGACAATTTTTTTTCTTAAAATGGAATACTAGACATTTTAAGCTGCGCTATCCGCTCAAAGGATTATTCAGACATATAGTTTTGAAGAGCTTTGTGCAATCGATATTCTAGTTATAAAAGATGATTTTGTTTAAAACTTACACTAATATTTCTGTTATTCTAAAATGACTAAAATTTTTTAGCAGCGATATTCGTTTTGAAAATCAACTTCATCAAGAAACTTTAAGTATGCCTTACAAAAGATGAATCAGATACGATCTTCACATTGCCTATGAAAACAACCACTGAAACAACTACGTTCAACTTTTATATAAAAATGGCTTTCCCATCCATATTGAATCTATAACTATTCGAGTGAAAAATTCCAAACTCATAAAATTATTCTGCATTCTTTCTGTGCCTTTTGAATGACTTCATGTTCTGCATTAACAGACAGTTGAAATGCACTTCGAGTGGTTATCTATGAAATGGATCATAGAAACAAAAACGTAGTAAGCGAACTCCATAATTAAAATTCCTGCATTTTATTTGATGTTTCATTGTGAAAAATAAAGTAGTTACAGCATTTCTTATTTTAAAAGTAGGTTTAGTACTTTCGTGCTTAAATTTTACATGTTTGTGGAAGTGAATGTCTAATTTATTTAATTTACCTCTCTGTTTAATATTATAAAATGCTATAAAATGATATATGTTACTTATATCGTTTAACTAACTTCACTCTAGGGCTGAGAGCAATGTTATTTGAATTGAATAACTTGATCTGGTAATGATAATTATTAAAAAACCCTAATAGACAAGAATCGAATCATCGCTTTATGTCAAATGTTGAGTGATGAGAAGGTTAAATATAACCCTTTTATTTACACAGGAGTTAGAACACAAAGCCACTCTCTTGTACTACAATATAAGCCACAACTCGTGGTGATGAAACGAAACAGAATATCCACATTTAAATCAAACGTTGAACAATAGTTAAGGACTATATAATTAAATATTACTAGAAGGTGGTTCACTACTCTAAAGTCCGAAGTGCCGGCAGCGATAAAATTCAGAGCAGAATAATTACATCTATCAGAGGTAACAGGACACTAACAGCTGTAGAGTGCACGCGATGTCAAAAACACGCTGGGTCTTAAAATCCCAAAACATGACTTTAAATACTTGCTTCTCATTTGCATTTTGGTGCGGAATACGGAAAGTAGAAGTTATAGTAAAAGTTGAAGTTATAAATAACTCGCTAATTATCATAAAATTCCTTAAAGTATTAAGCAAATTTGAATCTTAATATTTCAGAAATCTTAAAGCTTTGCTAATTTATTAACCTTAAAACATAGTTTTTTTAATGTTTCTCAAAAAAAAAAAAAAAAAAAATCACACACACACACACACACACACACACATATATATATATATAATGCTATCTTTAGTTGATTATTCTTTCTATACTAAACATGTCAGGTTATTTAATTAAGATTTCTTGCAAGTAAGGAATTTAATTATGAAGCTTTTAGGTATAATCAAGGAATCAACACTGATTCTTTCGGCACCCATATAGTACAAAATGTAGCATGAGTTAAGCAATATATTCATATGAATGGACTGACATTTAATAATTTTAGCAACATGGAGTGCGACAAAACATAAATTTAAAATGTAGTTAAAAAGTAAGTGCACATACTGAGGAAAAGGTAAATTCATTTTAGAGCAACGGTCGTAAAACAATGTTCTGAGCAGAAGTGTTATAGAAAGTTTATGTTCTCGATACGATACATTGAAAGGTAATATGTAATGAATTAAATTCTAAAAGAGCCCGAGTTTGTTCTCCACCATCCATCGTATGTTCCATCGGTAACAAAACGAGAAAGTAAGTTGGCTGGAAAAAGTAAATCAGCTAAGATACCTACTCAGCTGAGTTGTATTCTAATGCTTTTCATCATAATTAGCGAATTATATAAATACGGTTTTTTTCAATTCTTTTTCCCCATTTTAAGTTAGAAACATTTATTAAAATTATTTAAATTAATAATTTACCAGAGTTTTGGGCCTTAATTCACTTATTTGAATTATTACTTAGTTTAAAATGTTTTGAAAAATTTATTTTTTGAGTATTTGCTCTCATAAATTAGTAAATTATTATTAATTTTTATTTATTACAAACGCAATTTTTTGCTTCTGATTACTATTAATTTTCTTGAAGGCGAAAGAAAAATTCAAAATGCAAATTAATTAGAAATTATTTAAGGACCTTCTTCAGATAAAATTTGTGAGTGCAGAAGCTCCCAGATGGGAAATATTGAAAGACACTACAAATATGAAAAAAATTAATAAATATGAAATGAATTCAGATCCATAGTTCAGATTTCAGAAAATACTAAAATTTATTAATTGAAATGTAATTAAGAATTAGTAAACAATTAATTATAATTTGAAATTTCTTGTGGTAAAAATTTCTTTGTACATAAATGAATCTATAGCATCTTAAGCTAAAACAAAAATATGCGAATTAATTCATGTAGAAAGCAACATAAAATTTAAGACATTATAATTAAACAGCATTTAATTAAGCAACATTTATCAATTGTTTTATTTCTTTTTGAAGTGTGAAGAAAACTGAATAAATAGCGTTATTATTTCTTGCTGAAAGCTTGCACAGAAACAAATCATGTAGGTAAGGTATGTGTAATAAGACTCGTAAATATTTCATATCTTTTAATTTAGACACCATCATATTTAGTATAGGTTTCAGTTATGCATGTGTGTCTCAAGAACAAAATCGCATGAGACTGATGACATAGCTACTAGTATATCAAGCATTTGATCTGATTACTGACCATTTTGTTAGCGATCAGCTAGTTGAAAATCATAAACAAGCTGTAACAATGCCTAGATATCTGTCACGTTATATTTTTATCCTATGATAAATGGATGATTGTGAGTTTCTCATTTTCAGCATCCTCAAATCATGTAACTGCTAGCTGTTTTCAGTCGTGTAATCTGAAAGCCAAGGCATAGGCGCAGTAGGCGACGCGTCAGTCTCATAATCTCCCACACAGCAATCCAATATGTGATGTTCATTTTTACTGGCGTATTAAGTTTAATTCTTTGACTCTTCGTCATATATTGATTATAGTTAGAAAAAAAATTGGAAATATTAAAACTAATAAAAAATATATTCCTTACTCATCGATCAGATCTTTATCTGGTATTTATATGTTTTGTTATACAAGAAAGCATGAATATAAATATTTAATATAAAATTGTTATAATGTGTCAGCTTTCGTCAATAACAGTATTTTTATCTAAATGTTTAAAACCAAATATTTAAATGAGAAAATATTGACGTCTAATACTGTCAAAAAGGCATTCGGAAGAATTTTAATATGCTTTGAAAATCTATTCAAATTTTCAGAAGTAATTTCTCTTACATGTGCTAAAAAACAGCGACGATTTTGTCCATTTTCCTCTCGCTTACCGTACAAAAGATGTCTGATTGATGTTTTAGTATCATCAATCTGGAAATTCTTTCTTTAATAGAAAACATTAAATTCATAGTTACGCAACTTAGAGCACAATTAAAAATAATGGTTTAACTTAAAGAAACTATACCGTAGTTACAATTAGCAATTTATAA